ACAGGTTTGGCCACTTGCAGTTTTGCAGGTTTGAGTTTGCTTTGTTGAAAGCAGGTTGTCTTGCTTCTGGTGTAGTTTTGAATAGGTTATGTAGGTTATGCAGTTTGGGTTTTTGACAACAGGTCTGAGTTTGTTTGTTTGGTAAGGCATGTTTGAGACTTGCCATGCTTGTGATTTTTGAAGCAGGCTTATGCAGGCTTGGTAACTTGTTGTCTTTTGGTTTTACAAGTTTGTTGTTTTAGCCTTTGGGAAACCAGGCTTGGGCTTTTGGACAGGTTTTAGTATTTTGGTGTTTTGGTAAGGCAGGTTACTGAGTTTTGGCTTGTTGGTCTTAGGCAGGTTATGCAGTCTAACAGGTTTGAAGGCTTGTGTTTTAACAGGTTTGAATAGGTTTGAATAGGCATGTTTGGTAAGGCAGGCTTGCTTGAAGGTTTGTAGTTTGAACAGGTTTGAAGGCTTGTTTGGTAAGGCAGGCTTGTGTTTGCAAGGCAGGCTTGGTAAGCTTAAGCTTGCAGTTTTGGAGGTTACGTAATCTGTGTTCTTTCTCTTGTGTTTTTCTGCAGTTATATTATTTCTTTTGTTCCTCTTCTCTCTCCTTTACAGCCTGCAAAAACTGCAAACTACAAGACCTATTCACTAGGTTCTCTCATTTCTCTCTCTCCTTAAGCATTTTAAATTGCTTATTTATCTTTTGATTTCTGAAAAATTGGGCTGTCTAGGAAATGATGAAAAAAAAGCATCTTTGACAAGTTTTTACTTGTCAAATAAACTGCTTCCCGCTGTCTTGCCTTTTGTCTGCTGCATTGCTGTTTTTATGCTTCATTACCATTTTTATCAAATCTGTCTTGTAGCAATTTTGTACTGTAGCTGAATGTGGGACTTTATTTGCTGCTGAGTTTATGCCTTTATTTTGACTCACCCTGGCAGTTTTGGCGCCTGTTTGCCTCTTTGAACTTTGTAACACATTTTTCTTGGTTAATGTAACTTGGAATTTGGTAACTCAGTTTGCAGCTTGGAACTTATTTCAGTTTGCAGCGTGGAACCTTTTGTGATTAGTTTGCTTGGCCAATGCAACTTGGAACTTTTTATAATTCAACCATGTTTTTGCATTGAGTTTGACATGCTTGCATTTATATTTTATTTTTCTCTCTGTGAACCGAGAAGAGTGATCTTTGGTGATTTGCGGAGAGAAAAATAAAGCGTGATGAAAAATAGGCAATCTGATTCTAGACGGCCAATTTTAATGATGATTTTTTCTCTTCTTTTCATTTAAAATAATCTTGTACTGACTTTCTTTCTCTCTTTTTTTTTTCAGGTAGGTACCAGTTGAATAAATGGAAGAAACAGTAGAAGATCAAAGATTTCAAGATTTAGGCTTTAGATTTATTTTTTCACTTATTGTAAAAATTATTATTGTAAACACTGTAAATTATAAATTTACAATATTCGAATAATCATTTGTAACAATATTTGAAATAAATAGATAAAGTCTTTGTCAAATATTTCATTCTTTCTTTTGCACTGTCTATTTAATTATTTAAGTCTTTTTAAATTAAAATAACTGGGAATGTATCCCAATGACTTTAATCCAAATGAAATAAATAATCAATAAACTTTTGCAGTCTCGCAATCCTGCATTACTCATCAGACGCCTGGCATTCCAATTAACCATGCTTTATACAGTTAATCAAACAAGTGTTCCGTACACTTTTCACTCCACTAATCAAACCAATGCCTCAAAGTTTCAAACAAAGCCTCAGCTCCTATCCCAGATATTTAGGTTCTCTGAGAACAACCAGCAATCTTGAACAAGCATGACAAAAATGTAACGATTAATTGAATATCTGAGGAGTCAGTTCTTTCTGAGAAATGCGAATGAAAAACCCTAATTCTGGATTGACTGATAAAGAAAGGTCTGTTTGATCGATTCTTGAGCCAATCTCGAAAATCAGAGAAAATCCTGGGGTTGTGATTTCTTGTAAAAAGGGAAGGGAAAATTTTGGGGTATAACACACTTGACTTTAGGAGATATACTTCTTAGTTCTTGGACTTGTAGAAGTATGGGGTGGTCTTTGAATTTTCTCGGGCATACCCATTTTGAATCACCAATGATAGTTGCATCTGAGGCGTTGTGCAAGCCTTTGCCTTGTATGGAGAAGGGATGCCTTTTCTCCTCAATAATATTTATAGGACCAAGCTCAATTGAGTCTCCAATGTTTGACTTCTCCTTCAACAATCTAGGATTTTCTTAAATTACTTCACAACTTTCTTGAAGCATGCTTGTAATTTGTTCTTGAGCACCGGGAAATCTGCTAGCTGGATTGCAATTGGATAAGGGCGAAACTGGAAATGCGTATGCAAATGTATGAACATACGAAAATGCATAGGTACGCAAAAATATTTTTGGTTTTTTAGGATATACTAAAAGTTTTCATGGATATGCAACGCAATATGGATCTTAAGCTAAAGATAGACCTATGGACACCCTATACAGGTTTAGGGATATATAAACAATGTGAAACCCCTACAAGCTAGGGATTATTTACACCAAAGGAAACCCCTACAAGCTAGGGATTAAGACAGACAAAAGATAACCCTATAGGCTAGGGATTAAGACTTACAAAATATAACCCTACATGCTAGGGATTAAGACTTACAAAAGATAACTACAGGCTAGGGATTAATATAAACCAAAAGAAACCCTCACGAGTTTAGGGTGGTAAATACCCTATACGGGTTTAGGGTAGTGAATACCCTATACTGATTTTGGGATAGATATGGAAATGGGATTATGAAAGGTATCCTTGGTAGGTAGGTTCCTAGTTTCGTCCTACTGATATTCTACCCTCCCAAAAGGTGGTTTCCTTAAGGGTATAATGGATAACATCAAAGGGTAAATACACAAGGGCTTCTCTTAGGCAGAGTCTCTTTGTAGACCGAAACTTTCGTCTCTTAGGTCGTACAAGGTCTCACCATGAGATTTTATTTTAGGGTTATACAAAGAGTCATAGGTTTCATTCCAAAGTCCTAGCCCCAAAGAGTCTAGCCCCTTGAGAGATATTCCTTTTTTGGAATTCCACCGACTCTAGGCGAAGTTGTCGCAAAAACTCATAGTTAAACCCCCATTGGCTAATTGACAATCCTTCTTTCTAAGGTTTGATACTTTCTTTTGAATTCAAATCTCACCATAATAAAATAATCATGATAATAGCAAATAATATGAATAAATAAAATAAACAGATAATCAATTACAGAAACAAAATATATCGACAATAGAAAATACCCAAAAAAAAATCCTAGACCTAAAAATAAAGGAAAAACTCAAAACTCAGGGTTGTTTCCCCAGTAGAGTCGCCAACTATTGTAACCGGCAAAAAATAAGAGTCGCCACCATTAATTTTTATCCTAAAGACGGAGAAATAATGGGTAACCCTAATTCGTACAGAGATTCTAAATTCATAAGTCAATTAGATGAAGGAAAGGTGTTAGGTACCCTTCATCTTCCTTGTTCTCAAGGAGCTCCACTTTTAGGTTTAAGGGTAAGATGAGAATTTGGTAGTTAATGTTTCTAAAATTAAGAAAAATAATTTTAGTTTTTTAAGTTTTGAACTCGCCTTGGTTTTAACCGCGTTCCTACGTAACTCATTGTGAAGAATCATAGTCCAATTTCGTAGTTTGTATGTTTGGTTGGTGTTTTTTATAGGATTGTATAGAATTGCTTTCGAATTATCCTTTGAAATTCATCCAGTTTAAAAAGTGAGTAATCATGGACATAGTTCACAATTTTGATTTGAAAGCGATGTTACTTAATCCTTTATTGAAAAAATGATCTTGAATTTTGAATTATGTTAGTAAAAAATGGTTTGAATTGTTGATTATTTTAATTAAGTGTTTTAATTAGGGTTTGAATCGTTGAAGAAGACCGGGTCTTCATTAAAATTAAGTCGCTCTAGGTGAAGTAATTGATTCGATTAAGTCTTGATAAAGAATCTTGATCTTTATCAGAATTAATTCGCTCGAGACGAAGAAATTTGACTTTGTTCATTTATCGCTTTGAGCGATAATGTTTGATTCTTGCTCTAGACATAAACCAAATTTTACATGAATTTTAATATTTTGGATTTGAATAATTAATTAGTAAGCGTTAAACTGGCCAATCGATTACTCGATGGTATGGTGGATGTAAAACCCTCTACCTTATTATTTGTAAAATGTTAGAATTTAATTTAATTGTAAAAAAAAAGACTTGGATTATATACAGAGTTGATAATTTATGAAATTATATACAAGTTGACTATATTTTATTATCAAGATAAATTTACATTAAATAATTTAATTAACCATTTAAACCTAATAATTATTAACTAATGAACTAGACTAATTAAAGAACCTAAAGGGTCTAATGTGAAATAGAGATGTAAGTTAGTAAAATAGTAAAAACAAAATTGATTTTAAGAGACTCAACCCATTTCTAATCTAATTTAACTTTTTACATAATTAGATACTAAAAACAAAGACTAAACTAAATAAATAAATAAATAAATAAATAAAATAAACAAACAAAAAATATAGATGAGAAGGTTGAGAATGGGACGTTGCTTTTATATTGTTTAGTGAGTATTTTGACTTTTCAAAGCATTGAAATGCACCAACAGATTTTTGACATGTGGCATTCAAATGAAAAAAATTAAAATAGAAAACAAATAGGAGTAATTGGAAATGATATAGAGAATAGAAAAATTAAACAGATTCAAACTCTTCTTTGTCCATGGTATTCTCTCAATAACACAAATCTCATCTCATTTCTTACTCGTTCAGAAAACAGATAAAATACAGATCAAGCGAAAAATAGAACATCACAAGTACCAACGAGTTAAAAGGGAGCTAACATGGCCGGCGACAGTGATTACTCAGGTGTGGCGCGGTGGACTAGGGAGAGGTTGGAGCGTAAAATGCTGGACATAGCTGTTTCTGGCCGAAAGAGTCTAGTCGGAGGTTAGATGGCTGATACTGACAGTCGAATCTGTGAACTGTTGATGTTGTTCGCGGTGGTGATGATGTGCATGAAGGGTCTTAGTGACAGAGCGACTAGCTTCACGGAGGAGATGTATTGTTCGTCAACGGTTTCACATCGTTTCATTTTTCTTCTTCCTGAACTTAGTAGTCTTGCTTATAACCTGCAGATTGTTAGAATAATAACTAGAAGAAATTATGGCATGTTAATGTTGTATTGAATGGTTCAATTTATTGGATTTGCTGTTATATTGGTATTATAACATGTTCTTGAAATTTGGTATCTAGAATTGTGATTTAGTGAAGTGTTTGAATGGAGGTGTGGAGAATGATCTCCTTTTGTATGTGCATAGAATTGTGTAGTGTGAATGGTGAATAGAAGTGAATAATGGTTTGTAAGTGTGAAGGTTTTGTGTAGTGAAAAATTTGTCAAAAAGTCGAGAATTTGTGTTGATTGCTTTATGTTAAAGACAACAATAGATTTTTTGTTAAGACAAAAATCTTAGAATAAACTAAAAGTATAAAGAAAGTTTGTAAAAGAGAGATTAAAAAATATTGTATGTCTTGAACCGTTCAAATAGAAGTCTATTTATAGACTGAAAAATTATGTTAAATTGCTAGAAAAGAAAATGGCCCTAATAGTAAAAAGTCCAAATTTTATCTTGGTCAACAAGATGACCAATTAGAAGTTGAATATGACACAGATTGACACAAATGGACCAATGAGAAGTAGTTAACCAGAAAATGAAATATTTTTTATATTTATTATAATTTTTACACTCAATTTTGATAAAAAAAATACATTAAATCAAATAAATAATCATTTTAAAAATGCATTAATTAAAAATACGAAAATAATATTTAAATAATTTTTTTTTGTGATTTTGAAAATAATTAAAAATGGAAATAGTTAGTAACAAATAAACAGAAAAAATATCCAGAGTGCACCAAGTGAGATTCAAACCCATGACCTTACTCTTTGCAAAATCCGTTTCCTTGCTAATTATGCTATGTCATTATATTCGAGATGAAAAGGCACATCAAAGCATATAAAGAGTTGAACATATTTTGCTATTTTTAAAACACAAATTATTTAAAGTAGATTATTATATGTTTTAAACAAGTATCATAAATTACTGTTAAAATCAAATGTTAGTAAAACCCAAAAAAATTATGAAACCAAGTTTAAAAATAATTTGAATGTTTTAAAAATAGGGCGGGCAAATTTGGGTCATGCGGAGACCTCTCTCGGTCTGCGAAACCCTCGGAAGCCATTATCTTGCCATCAATTATCTGGTGATAGAGCCATATCCTTGCAGTGACAAGATGGACCCTAGAGTTGACTAGTTAGAGTTGCTCGACTGTGGAGTTGAAACCATGTCCCATGGAATCTAGACAATCCTACTCGAGAAACCGAAGGCGATCAATAAACTCAACCCAAGTCATCAAGATCCTATCATCATCGGACTCCTCCTTAGAGGGTGCAACGACAATTTCCAGCCTTGTCACTTGAGCTATCTATCTCCTCGTAAAGACTAGTTTGGATCTTATACTTATCCTTGTGTTCGAGAAATCATTCTCCAGTTTGTTCACCTTAGCTTCCAGAGTCACGTTCCGGGCCTTTGCTTTTTTCACCTCTATTAACGGGTAGGTCTCAACATCATTAAGGGCCATCGTAGTTTCCAAAACCCTCATCACAGCAGCAACTTCTTCACTCAGTGCTTTCCCACGGGCAACCTTGTCCATAGCCAAGATGGCCTTCGATTCTACCTCATGAACAACCACAAAGTTGTCCCTAGTAGAGATTTCCTGTTGAAGGTAAGAAGGGGGAAGTATGAAAGTTTCCATGATCGATCCTTCAGTAAGGTCGACATGCTCGATCTCGTTCCCACATCTCCTTTTGGCAGGTTGATCCGGAGGGGACAAACTTCCCAAAGGAGAAGAAGTTGAGTCGACCTGAGGCTGCCTGCTCCTGGCCTGCTCCTGGAGTTAAGCGACACGACTCTTCAGTAATTTCTTAGCATCCTTGTTGGCCACTATCCTGACCATGTGCTCACAGAAATCCACCATTTGACCTGCAAATAAAGAAATATGGTCAACATAATGGGGAAACATAGAGGTGCATGGATCACAAGTACGCTCTCTACCTAAAAGCTATAAAGATTCATCATTAGAATCACACTTGAGGAGAATTTTTGTATAAACCAGCCGAAGAGGTAGGCATGACTGTCCATCTGCCGTCAAAATGGGACTTCCATATTTAGTTACATACTCGATAAGAGTGAAACTGTTGACATACACATTGAGCTTCCCGTAGGAAAGCTGGTCTTCAGCATCCAAGTCATCGGGCTTTAAAGCATATGTGTCAGTAGTCTTGTCAAAGTGGCTCTTCTGCCACTTGCTGTACCCCCAAAATTTGCCCTCTCATTTATCAAGATTTTTTTCATAAGACTTTTTAGACTCAAGACAAGATTATGGTTTGGTCAGCTCAAGACATCTCATCTTGCACTGATAACCCAAAATTAGGGTTTGAGTTTGCGCAGGGATTTTTGGACCACCAATGCTTCATTTGACTTTCATACATCATTTTGGACCCCTAAGATTGTTCATGTTAAGTTTCAAGCCTTGAACCACATTTTTGATCAGTCAATTGGACAGTTGACCTAAAAATCAACTGTATTGGGGAAAAAGTCAACCATGGCCAATTTACAGTCAAACTTCATAATTTTTTTATCCAAATAAACATTTTAGACTCATATGTACCATTTGATCAAGTTTGGATCACAACTCCTCAGGAAATTTGATCAAATCATCAAAAGGGCAAAATGGTCAAAGTTAGGCTTTTGATTGAGAAAGGGCAATTTCTAATTTTAACCTAGCCAATGAACAATTGAGTTCAAACATGATTTTGAGGGTTCAATAACATCATCTTGACCTAATTACATGGTTCAAAAGATCTCAAATTCATTGGATTGACAGATGAAATTTGCAGTCAACTGATCAAAAGTCAATTGTATACTGAAAAGTCAAACTTTGACTTTTTGGTCAAAATCAAGTGCCAAGGGTCATAATTCATCAAGATATGTCAAAATATGAAACTTTTTTTACCAAGAAAACCAAATTTGAAAATTAGGGTTTTAATTTGAAAATTTTCATAACTTAGAATTTTTCTAAGTATAAAAATTTTCTTATTTTTTCCCAACTTTTCACTATTTTTTCACCATGATGCATTTTGATTCAAGAAAAACTTCCAACATGAAAGTTGTATTCCTCCATGAAATCTACAACTTTGCTTCATAAACGTTTCCCTAAAGATGCTTGGATCTCAAGTTATGAATTTGTGAATATAGACCCATGAACTAAATAACTTAGTGAAATTTTGCCCTAATTTAGGCAGGTTTTGGACCCAACTTTATGGAAACTTTTCACCTAGTTACAAGAGGTATCTCAAAATGCATTTCAAAGATGTATTTTAGATCACATTGCAAGCTTTCCAAAATGTCCAAGAACTCTCCAAGATCATTTTTGAGTAGGGAGAATTGAAGAAGGGAAGTTGACATTTTCTCACTTTTGATCAAGCCATTTTCACATAGCATCAAGTTGCAAACCAAATCTATGCTGGTTATATCTTGCTTTACAGGTCCTAAGCTTTCTATACACTCCATAATTAAATGCATACTCAGAAGCTAAAGCCTTTATCTTTACTTTTGAAGCTTTGCACAAGATGTATTTCCATTTTTGACCAAAAGGTTACAATGCCATTTTCATAAAGGGGAACTTTTGCAACTTTGTCAATCTTGAGCATTGAACTTGTCCCCTTGTTGCATACAAACTCTACAGCTCTCAAGCAAATTGTACAAGCTCATTTCATCCCTCAAGCAAGCTAGTACAAGCATGTGGGATTGGTCATGTCAACTTTGCTTCAAGTACAAGAAACTTGGCAAAAGGTCAAAAGCTTGCAAAACTAGTAAGGGCTGACTTGGTATCACTTCTATACATATTTGCAAACTAGGTACAAGGCATGACACGATTTGCTTGGACTTGAAACTCTCAAAAACTCAAAAACACCAAATTTCTTCCTAAATACAGAGTTTCTGCAAAAGCACAACCAACTCTCATTTGGCTCGTGCGTTTTGTGTTTAATCACTTCAAGCATCTCATACACTTGCTACCTAGCCAATCCAAGCCATCACCCTGGTTCTGTAACCCATGTTTCAGCATCTGCCATTTTCACTTTGGAAGCTTGCAGTTGGACTTGGTCATAGAGTTTCAGCCATCCTCAAAGCAAGATAAGCATTGGAATAGGTTCAGGGAAGTTCAAGGAAGCTTAAACAAACACCAGGCCTCCATTAAAGTCCCTATATTTTCCTACTCGATTCCAGCTGAAAGAGGTATTTTCATAAACTCTATCTCTCTGAATAAGGAACCTCAAGCCACGATTTATGAAGAAAAAATATAGCTCTCATCATAACAAAGTTGTACATATCTTTACTTTTCATTTATATTACTTGTGCTAAGAGAATTTGAAGATTGAAAACTCTGAAAAAGTTAGGTCACGAATTAGGGATTCAAAAATTCTATTTGATCTTTAAGAGTTAGATTACATAATTTATATGGTTGGAATCGTGAGCTAAATTGCCACATTTTTCATGTTATGAGTTTTTGTTTTTATGCAAGCATAAGCAAGATACAGGTTTGAACTGGAAACGTGTGAAGAGGATGAACGAAGGACATGGATGAAGTGGTTCCCGGCTTTTTGTGCTTTGGCCTTTTTGTTTTTGCTATTCCCACCCCCTAACTTGCTATTACACCCCCCTGACTAGCTTTTTATATTTTTACATTTTTCTTCATATTTTTATATTTAATACTTTTGTTTATTTTTTCTAAATGATAGAAAAACCTAAAAATGATTTATTTATTTTCACACTTTTATTTTATTTTTTTATTATTTTCTCACATGAAAATTAGTTTATTTTGATAAATAGAATCTATTTTCTTAAATAACTTATAAGTATAATTAAAAGTACTTAATATTTTTTTATTATACATCTTATACTCATAAATACTTATTTTCTATACATATTTAATTTTTAATATTTAAACATAATATTGTTTATTATTTTTATACAAAAATGCACAAATTATTTATATAGAACATTATTTTCTTTTAATTAAAAATTAGGGTTTCATCCCTTTCAAAAAGAATTATTTATTTTTTCCT